CCCCTCACAGCCGCGCCCCGCGGAAGGCGACGAGCGGCGCCACGCGGCCGCGCACCTGCGGCCCCTCCAGCGTCCGTCCTTCCCGCCTCCGCCCCGGCGCCAATCAGCTGACAGGAAGGGGCCTGCAGCCGCCAATCAGCAAACGGCAGACTGCGCTGCCCCCACCCCCGCCGCTAGAACCAATCACGGAGGGCTTTGCTAGCTTCCGGGTTGCGCTAGTTGCTAGGCAACCGCGCGTTTCCCCTAGGGGAAAGGTTATCGACAAAAAAGTTTTAAGCAGCGGGTTTTAGATATCGCGGGGAGCGGCGGCCTCGTGTGCGGAGGGAGCCCCCTCAGGTCACGAATCCAGCAAACTTCACATCAGGCAACCCCCTGCGAAATTAACTCATACGCTGCTTTTTTCTTTTTTCTTTTTTTTTTTTTAATTTAAATACTACTACGGCATATAAAATTACACGTAGAACAGAAGAGAACAAAAAAAAACCCCAACAACATACATTTATACTATTTACATACTTTACATCGAGATGACAACAATAGACTGGGTAGCCAGCTGCTGTTGAGGGACGGTTACAGCACGCTGGCAGTCCCAGAATGCCAACCCAAGTGTGTGTGGCGATTCACTGTCAGCCTTCCTCCATCACTGCCCAACACGGGCAGAAGACAAGCTGGGCAAGATTCTCCCAAGAATCAGACCATTAATTTCTGCTAAACTGCTTTTGACTGAAAAATATTTTAGTTCTTTAAGGACCCTGGATGCTGTCATTTAAGAAAAAAAAGTAAGGGATCTTTTGACAAGTGTAGCGATTCAAGTGTGTCGAAGCACTACGTTCACTTCTGGCACAACAGCCAAACATTAATCTTCTTTCTCTGCCACAAAAGCATGTGCTGCCTCGCGTAAAGAGGTTGTGCAACCTTCAAGAAACTCCCAAATATTGCACCATACCCCCCCTTCTGCAATGGCACAGGACACAGCTGTCGAGGCTAAATCCTGCAGCTTTTGTGGAGGAACAACCAACCAACTTCATGCACGAAGCACAAAGCATTCAGCCTTCTTGTCCACTGAGCTGCATGAAACCGCTCTGGGATGGCTGAAATCTGTCACTCCTTCTTCCATTACAGGGAAATTTAGCTTCACAGTCACCCCCAACACTCACATCTTTTTTTTTAAGCTTATCCCGATGACAAGATACCTCTGCACTTATTTCCTGAAGCCTTTCTCATCTCTTTTAAACTAAGTAATGTTAAAAAATACTAAATACCATCCGAGCTGCATGAAAAATACATATTCTTTAAAAATCCCATTTACACAGCTCATTCTGTAGTACTAGTACATTTTTTTTGAAGAAACTTTTGATCAGTTTCAAACTTTTAATGGAAGGCTGGTTGATCTTTAAATGAAGTTCCTGATCTCATGAACTTAAATTTTGACCAATAAGTTTGCAAGACAGAAAAAAAAAAAAAGGTTAAAGCATTCTCTTAGTACTCAATATGATGGTGCAAGTTACTTACACCACTTGATTTCAAGTCTTGCTTGGAGCATTTTATTCCACCTTGCTCTGTAAGGCTCTGGAACCACAGTTCATTTAACTTAGGCAAAGCACTCCAATCCCAAATTTTTCTTACCCATCATTTTGTTGTTTGCTCAACAAATTAATTACTTTTCACAGTGTTAAAACACCCTTTCAGGTGCATTGCTGCATCACTTCAGAAACTGAGCAGGCCTGAAAATCACACTCAGTTTTATTGGAAATTACTTACTGACCCCATCAGCCTCAAAAGTTAACGTAAACCTCTTTAAAGAATTCTTTTCTTTTCAGCCGTAACTGAATTGAATGAAGGAAGAACACGGACTTCTTGTGCTCCAGTTCCTCAGTCCACTTGCGCAGCTTTCTCCAAATTCAGGCACCACAGACCGTGGGACTAGCTACAGTACAATTTCATTTGTGTTCTTCCTAAACTCCACTTACACTCATGTTAATTATTTCAATGATAGTATTTTCAACACACTGGCATAACCGAACATCAGGGTCCATGCTTGCAATGTCCCTTGAATAACTTTTGTTAGATGAATCTTTACAAAGTCCTGACACTTCATGTGGTTTGTCCTTTAGCTGCTGAAGACCTAGAAAAATAAATAGAAAAAGCAAAATACATCTAAATAATTATTAATTTTTTTAAACGGTTATATTACATCCGTAACACAAACATGTATGCTGTGAAATTACAAATTGAAGCCATCGTTATTTCATGCACCGGGCTTAACTCCACAGATTCTTTCAAGAGAAACTACATTTCTTTTTCATTTACTTATATCTGAGTCCTTTGGGGTTTTTTATATTCCCTCTTACTTCTTTTAACATAAATACCCTAGCATCGGGGAACCTTGTATCTCATGAAGAGAGTATTTGTCTTTACACACACAAAAAAAAGACAAAAACATGCTCAAGAACTTAAAACAGTTCACCTGTGTTCATACAATCACTGTATCTTTACCCAGCCACGCCACATCACGTGTAAGACTTCAGGTAGCTCATTTGACTTTGCATTTCCAACAGATTAGGAAAATTTATAAGGCCATTATGCCTCAGTTGAGGGGTTGAAATGTCCTTGTCTTCCCAAAAGCCAATGGCCTTTGCTCACACCTTTAATCCTCAGCCTATGATGCACAATTCTATGCACAACACTTGCATGCAGGGGTCCATCTCAAAACGAGACAAGCAGGGAAATAAAACAGAAGGCAGGCGGTACGAAGGTTAATAAAAGGAGTACTTTCAGCCCCTTCAGCCTCTAAACTCTCTCCTCCAACCCAGTAAACCCACCTATCCCTATTCCTTCTATATTTACAAGACAACAGCAGTAAACTTCACGCTGCATTCCAACTACACTCAAACTTTTGAAACATTAACATAATTTTCTCCCTGGGACCATGACATTACTTTTGAAATACAAGGTACTTACGTGTGATAATTGGGTCAAAGTCTCTTGTCTGTGTAGCAACATCAGAGGCACAAACTTGTCCTATTTGTATCAGCAGAGACATAATGTCCTCATATAAAGGAGGAAAGGCTTGGCAGAATGACACCAAACAAGGCAGAGTTGGCATAAAAAAAGCATAGCGCTTCGACTGGGTTAAAACTATCAAGGAAAAGGTTAAATAAAAAGGAATTATTACAAAAATCCAGTCGAAAATTGTTGTTACTCTTACAATTCTAATTAACATAGTGGCATTGAGACAACACTGCACTCAGCCTTGACAAATGATTCTCATTTACACAATAATGTATCTAGGGCTTGGTGGAGCGCTTACCCGTGAGCAGGGTTCCCATCACGTTGATAGCTAAACGAGCCACGCTGAGAGATTTAGGTAGCGCATACTGGATACACAAAAAGGAAAGTAACTGGATGGCAAATATCTGTTAAGTAGGTGAAAGGCAAAAGAGAAACAAGCCACAAAGTTACAGACTGCTTTGAACTTTCTATCCAAAGCTCTTCACATAACTTATGAGTTAGTAAATATTCTCTATTTTACCAGTGAGGAAATTAAAGCCAGAGAAGCCTTAACAGTTAATTTTTTTCTGTTGACATTAAGAAAAAAGCTCACACACACTTAACACAAATCAAAGCACCAGTATTAGTGTTTGAGAATTTCCCCCCCAGGCACAATTTGTTCCGACATTAAGGATGAGCAACAAAGCAACACATAATTTACAATATAACCCTTGTAACAGCTGTTTAAGGTCCGATGTGCTCTAGTTTTAACTTCAGTTGAGTGTCTTCTCATCAGCAGTAGCTCGATATTTGAGAAGGGATTAAATAACAGCAACTACAAAGTTGGCTTGATATAGAAAACAAAAGAATCTTTAGTCCAACGAATTTCAGTTACCTACAACTACCCGAATATGTAATCTCCCCTTGTCAGGGTAGACTAAATCAGGGTCTACCAATTGCTTTAGAAAGTAATAATAAACGATTAATTGACATTGTTTTTCATAATCATCAGGAGAAACATTTCAAAATGAGAATGTTTTTCATAATCATCAGTGAAACATTTCCAAATCAAACTCCTGACTCCCTCTTTGCTGAGCTTGCAGTGAGGAAAAACCACCACTCTTCAGACTGAAATAGCAGAACTCTGAGGAAAGCCGTGCATGGCATTCCAGCAGGCTCTGCTCTTGCAGTCAGACCAGGGAAAGAATTGGTAAGACAACTGGCAAAGGAGAAATTTAAATTGATTTAGAAATACATGCCTTACAGACTTGTCCCAAGCCTTCTTCAAAAAACAGTAGTAATATTCCCTGGAAAAAGACTTAGCAGTCAAGATTTTCATGGGAATGGATAAAATTTTGATCTTACGGCTGCTTCATCTGTTCTACGATCTATGCACAAAAGGTTTTCAGAATTTAAATCTTCACAGAAGTTCCTGCAGCTATGAAGTATCCTGCCGATAAAAACTTAAGTAGGCAAAACTTTTGCCAACTGATTTCAACTCAACATAAAGAATGAATGAAAGTCATTACTGAAAAAGTGTTTTTATTCATGTTCTTGAAGGCAATATTGGAACCCATGAGTATTTCCTGAACAAGTGTACAGAGATATGCAAGGGGAGCTGTCACAATCCCTGTCCGAAAGGGATTTAAAGGCCAGGATTTAATTTAAGGTAGAAGTGCTACAGACACTACCTTAATATCCTACGCAGGTTAGAACATGGACTTTTTTTCAGTGATGCTTTTGTTTTCTCCCCTTAACCAATACTTCACCAGGGTTAACTACCCACAGTGATTCTCAAACTAGATGACTGTACAGTACCTGTTTTTCAAGTTCAGGCTGGGCAATGAGCTCCGGGATAAAATCCAGACAGATGTGCATCGATGGAATCCCCGCCACTGTCAGTGCCAGAAGCTCACATGGATAACCCTGTGCGATTAAGAAATCAGATATGTCAAAGGCGTTTGAAAAAATCTGTTTCGATTAAGATTTTAAAATAGATTTGCGTTAATGCTTTTTTCAAAACTTTCAAAACTTGTAAATCTCTTTTGTTCAGAATTATAAGCAACAGACCTGTATCCCAAGGCAACAAGAAGGCAGGCTGGGTGACGAACCCAGGGTCTGAATCAGTTCTTTATCTCAATACTCAAATGTATTCTCTGCATACACACTCCCCCTGCACTCCCTCAACTGAACCAGGCTGCAGTGACCCTTCCTTTCTCTGTCTTTCCCCTCTGTTCCAAAATTCACCATAGGCCCCAACTTGCTTAATTCAGGACTGCACCATTATGACTTTTTTAGCACTTAATCAGTTCCAGGTCAAGGCAAATTAACTCCTTTTGAAGAGACTGCCATCTGGCAACGAGCAATTTAACACGCACTAAAACCACATTTATATTAAAAAATGTACTGATCTTTCCCCTCTTCTTTTTTTTTTTTTTTGAAGGTGCACAGCTGCTTTGGCAGGGGCAACCTTTCTCCTTCCACTCCAAAGAGATAAATTGTGCCTTAACAAAAAGGAAAGATAAGAAGATGTTTACATCTGAAGCCAAATTACAGTTTTGAATAATGGGTATACAAATTTAAAAACATGGCCAGAAAAAAGTAACCCACAAAAGATGTGGAACAAGTAATTATAAGATGATTGGGCCAGTTTTCCCTGGCCTAGAATGGACAAACTGTTTCGGTATAAAAAAGGGCAGAGGCACAAACAAATCACGTGTTTTATGATGAGGAACAGGCATAGTTTAGGTGCTCCCTTCTCGGCTGCAACACAGAGTCCAAGCACTGAAATATGGAGGAAACGTAGGTGCTACAATTTGGCGAGATGGGAAGCAGAAAAGCGGGCCGCTACAATTCTGAGGAACACAACAACAGCGTTCAACATCTTTTGACCACTTCATTTGGCTCTTTCTTAACCAGAGGAACCATGAAAGAACTAAAACAGTGCAAAGCAGACCTGGAAATGAACTAGTTTGACTATGTTGGGATCAGCTATATACATCTGGTGCAGTAGACAGCAGATCAGACACTGGACCTCTCGAAGATTACACAGCAAACTATCTTCTTCTTCTAGTTCAGGGCTCTTAGGGCCTGTGGGATTATGAACACTCTTCAGCAAACTGTGGGTATTACTGCTCTGGGTTTTCTCTTCTTCTGTAGGTAAGCAGATCTCTAGAAGTATCTGCACAGCAGCACTGTCCTGTGAAGAAAATAAGCAACAGAACATGGGTAAAAACCCCCAGTGAAAGTAAAAAAAATCAAATACAAAGTAATGACAATTTAAGAAACGGAAGACTGTAAGGTGGCTAGAACTTCCAGCTATAGGGGTTTTTTATATAGAATAAAATCAACTCAGTTCAAGACACACAAATCCTGCAGAACATGAATAAAAAAGCCCCATTACTTTATTCGAATCAAGACTCAAATTAAAAAAAGCTTAAATCCAACAGATCATAATCACAGATCAAAAGAGTAAATTCAGCAGAACCCTGTATTGTTTCAAAATAAATACCCAAAGGTTCCTTAAAGCATCGAGATCATACAAAATAAACCCGTGGTCATGCAATTCACAGTATTCAAGGGAGACTACACTACTCATTTAAATATAAAACCCCCTATTAACTCAAAAATCATGTTCTAATAGGGACGATATGTGACATTCTTCCAGAGGTAAGAAGAGACTGTCTGCGAAACAGGATTACTCAAGAATTCCCATAATGTTAAAACTAAGGAAGTTAACCATTCTTCAGCCTCACACTTGACAATACTGGCTGCTTCTTTTAAATAACAGTTCAAACGATCATGCATAACTCTGCCACACTTATTCGTGTTTTACTGCTCCAAATCTAAGTACAGAAAGAGCCTCTGGATAACACAAGCAACGAGGCAAAAGGGCTGGTAAGCAAAACTCTTCTAACAGAAAAAAAACACTATCAAAGCAGTTCACCAACACAATGCTTCAGACTAGAAAACAGAAGACTGAAAATATTTAACAATCTGAATACAGAGGCTGTTTTCTTTTTCCTGGTAACATAAGTTGGTAAAAAAAAAGTTGGTAAAAAAAAGAAGTTAAAACGTCTCCTTTTTTAATTTCCTGTTTCTGTATTTCTGTTTTATCACTGTCTTTCCTCACATCACTTAATATCCATCTCTTCCCCCTTACCTGAGCAGCAAGCAATGCATTTTTTAATTCTTCCCTTGTAACTTCTGGGGCCTCTGGACCCATTGTGTTGTTTTGGGATGGCCTAATGTCCTGCTCTGCCGTTTCTTTTAGGTGAGAATTGAGGTAAGCTTTTGAAGCAAGAAGATAGCCATTCAACATGTGCAAAGTTATATCCATCAGAGGAGGACTCCTGATACGGGAACACATCGTAAAATAAAGGGATTTCAGTAGGCAGGACAGTAAGGCAGCAATAATACGAACAAAGCTAAAGCACTCCTCAAAGGTTCCTTTGGTTGTAGTCTGGTTCCTACTAAAGCTTTTTTCCCCTAACACGGCCAAATACTAAAGGTGACAATCCCTTCTGCTGGCCCGCCATTCAGTCCTACCTCTCTCATTGCACACACATGTATGCAGACACTCTACAAAATCAGAAGACACTAATTTCTGATCAAGAGAGGAAACCCAAAAAGTGTTGGCTGCACATGAAAAGAAAATAATTATCTGAATGATGGGGAAAAAAACAAGGCAGACAAGCTCTGAACTGCTTCCACAATACTAAGATGGTAGTTTTCAAATCACATTGCGTTATAAATCTCCCTAACAGTTTTAGAAACGTAGGAGTTTCAATTTGCATCCAGGGCTGAAAGGGACATACATTTAAATATTTCACCTACGGGTTGGGGATTAAAGATGTCATCCATGGAAACTTGCTAAAAGGCAAGGGGGGACAGATGCATACAAACAAGAGCAAAAAGAACAAATCAAGTTGACTATTAGCCATTTATTACGAACAAAAGGATAATAAAAAAGGGGGAAAATAAATCGCAGCTGACAGAAAACGTGAAAAAGAATACACATGGAATAAAGCTGGGGGCTAAAGTACATTTAAAATGATTAACTGTATCTTTTTAGAATAACAGATGCAATTTCTTCATTACTATGAAAAAGCAAAGGTATAATTTACAAATTCTGGCTTCTTGTTTGCATTATTTCCTATTCTCCTTCAAAGTTGGTTTGTTGCTATCGATTATGATCATTTTCACTACTTAAATTCTCAGCTTATTCTTCTGCATCAGAGCCATAAAGCAGTATTACACATCCTCCTCTGTCATCACTGACATCTAGAGGAACTAATTTCTAAGTACTACTAAAAGACTTTCTGGGGAAATTAAGCAAATCTACCTTTGTCACATCCATCAAGCACCCAGTGGCAGAAGCTGTCACGCAGAAAGATGGAACACCTACAGGCCCACGAGGGACTGCAAGAGACAGCGCGCAGTGAGGGGTGTTACAGCTCCAACCTCAACCACCACCACCACCATGTGGCAGCAGCCATTTTAAGCACGCTGCTGCAGCGTCTACTTAGAACAAATTCAGACACGCAAGTCTAAAATGGACGACCTATGTACAAATCCCAGTTTCCAAAACAGAACTGGGTGTGAGGTTGTCCAACGAGACACTCGGCTGGCCAGTATGACACGCAGGAACAGCACGCACAGCTGGCTCAGTCCTCAGACCAAGCAGCTTAATACAAAAAAGATGGAACTTACAAGCTCTTACGATTAGTTTGAAAATATGTTGTGAAGTACTGAAAGCTTTTACAAGTTTTCGTGTAGAAAAAAGCAGACACCTTTACGTTTAGCGTCTATCAAGGTAAGTACCACAGAACATCCCACTAAAGCAGGGAGATGCTTACCTATGAACTCGCTGATCACATCTTAGTACAATCAAAGGATCGATCATCAGATCGTTCTGGGTGTATATCTGCTGTCGGACTATTTTTACTGAAGGCTGTAGAGCATTAACAGTCATCACCCACAACCTAAAATGAGATTATTTTTATTGTTTTTTTTAATAGATAGTCTGAGAAAAAGGACCACATAGGCATCTGGACACTCACTTATCTCAGCCGGATTTTTCTAAGCCTATCAAGGAACAAAACTTCCCTATTTCATTTGCAGCCCTTGAAGTTAACCACCACAGAGTTAACGTACACTCACCAGAATTACAGCAACCAAACTGTTTTCACTGCAATAGAGCATCCACTTCCTGAGAAAATGTACGGACTTACTGGAGCCATTTTGTGTTTCGTCAGTGATTTGTCATAAACAACACAGGCAAAACCTGTATTTTAAGCAAACTGGTGACTTCCTTTCCCCTGAGAATAACAAGTACCTTCTGTTTTAAATGCAAAGGTTAAAAATTTCAACAAAGCAAAAAGGAATGCGGCTGCAACGTATTTTATTCAGTAAGAACCTCCAGTTTCCCAGGCAAAGGCACCGTGTCATTAGTTTTGAAAGTGGCATTCCACCTATCTGCAACAACAAATTAAACAGTATTTGGAGCCTACCTTCTTGGCATCACAGTGTTAAGAACCATCCAAAGTTTATTGACAGTCTGAAGAATCCTCCGAGGGACTCCAGCATTCAGCAAGCAATTCATATTCGATGTCAATACTTCTGCATATGGGATCAATTCACCAGCTGAGAGAAGTGTTAAATGTTCTAAGATCTGCATCAGCTGGGTATGATTTCCTGGCAGCATGGAAAATGCTATAAAATAAAGACAATGGGATCTTGGTAAAACTGGACTTCTGACATTTTTTCTGACTTGGCAGCAAAACCTGTTCATTATACAAATGCAGGATGATCAAAATGAATTAAAGGGCCACACACTTCCAAATCCACTCTATTCCAACCAATTTGGAAAGAACTCTGCTTACTTCACAGGAAGTAATTTACCTTCCTGGAGCTGTTTGGGCGAGTGATTCTTCGCAATGTTTGTCAGAAGCATCCTCCTCAGTAAGGCATCAGTGCCCGTGATCTGTTCCTCGCAGATCCAGTCTTCCACAATGCAGAGGTGTGGGTAGTTAGTTGCAAGAAGGCGTAACAGTGCAGAATGCAAACCTTTAGGGGTATTAAAATATACATCTTAGATTTAAGCAGCCACATTTTTCGCCTGAATGTATCTGTGCCTGTCATTTCAACAACAGACCTTAGCTGAATCACCCCCAAGAAGTTCAGTGAGCTTGCATGTTCCTAGCCTGATATTCTTAACTCCAACAGAAAGGAAAAGTTACCTTTTGGAAAGGTGGGAGGACCCTATAGTAACTCTTAAACTCAGTCTGGCATAACCAGAAATCCTCCAGCAATTCCTACTCTGAAACCTACCCTAGCAAAGAACTGCCTTCCTCAAACTTTGACTATAACTCTTCAAACATATCTGTGATCTCACTAATTACTACTGCCGGGTTTTAAAAGAAAGGAAGGCACACCACAAAACAGACGATAGCCACAGAGCTGGAAACACACTTAGCCTTCCTTCTTCGTGCATGAGACGTTCACACAGTGATATACCTCCCAGTTCCTGCTGCAGCCCTTGTGCCTGCCGGATGAGGTACTTGATGGGAATCTGATCCATTAACGCTGAAGAGTAGGATTTGGGTTTTTTCTGCATGGCAGCTGTAAGGGAACACGACAAGAAACCACGAATAACAAGTTACAGTTGTAAAAAATTTATTTCCCCAGCTGAATGAATAAAGAAAATGTAAACAATTGGCTCTGTTATCCACGTAAAAGAGAGAAAATCCCAAATAACACACCTCATTCCTGTTAAAGTATTAAATTAAGCTCTTCAGGAAACCATTTCTGTGAACATTTCCAGGTAAAGATTTTCACGGCATTTAGATTTGTACACAAGATCTCCATAGTGTCTTTGATAAAACCAACTGATTTTGAGATCATAGCTCAAATCTGCACTTTCGTTATTCAAGGTTTTTTATTTTTAAAAAAAGACAGCAGTTGGTACACAGAATTCAAACTGTTGGCACACACAACACCCTGTAGCGAGGTGGAAGTTATAAATGCAGGAAGAACCGTAACTGATTTTATTTCACCCCTTCTTGAATAGCATGAAGAAAACAGCACTGATGAATGCCGAAGTTTTGCACCCTAAAAAGGGCAGGTAAAAACACCCACCAGATACAAACACTGTGTTTGCACTGGAATTCAACTCTGTTAATAAACTACGTAACATTCTTCTAGAATTGATTTAAAGTCTCAGTTTCAAAGGTGAAAAGGGATTATTCAGTATTGTCAACCACAAAATTGCAAACCCAAAGAAATGTGTGTGCAAGTTTGATGACACATGGATAAATGAAGATCTGAGGTAATTAAGACGACTTTCTTAACTGTTGCTCTATTTATTAGATGGTTATAAACATTTCTGGCAACTTTTTGGCTACTTTGGACCTTTTTTCATCTGGAAAACAAATCACTCAACTACACAGTTTTAGCAGAAACTTTATCTCCTGAATTTCTACAGCGATGCTGCATTTATTATGACAATCTAAACTTTTTATGCTGTGCCTGAATCTGACAGCCACGTGAATTCTGGTTATTGCAAGAATTCCTCTCTCTGCATCTAATTTTCAGTGAATCTGTCTTCCACTGATGCACTCACATGTACCTAGTGTCTTTGTGTTTGCCAGAAGTGCTTCTTCATACGACAGGACATAGTAGAGGACAAGCAATTGTGTTGTGATGCTGTACCGTTGAGTGAGACGAGTATTTTCTCCCTGTACATAAAACCACATACAAAGGTCATGTTGCATTCCTGATTCTTGAGAACAAAAATTTGGATTTACCTGCAAATATGAAGAAAAATAAGGCAGTAAGCCTTGTACAAAAATATCAAGCCTTATGAGGACCAAACTGAAAGCTGCAGGGGACCTTTTCTTTTTTTTTTTTTTTTCTTTTAAAAAAATGAGCTTCGAACATAAAATGGATTTTTGGTATCTGGGACACTAATAAGGAGTAATCCCAGGATTCCAATGCAAGACAATGCTTGCTGCTCATTCTACATGTGTCCAAGTGACCATTTGCATAATTCTATCCAAACGAAAATGCTTCTTTCAAAACCAGCTAGACCGCTTCAGTTAAACAGTATTTTTATCTAACGAGACCAAGTCAGTACAAAAATTATACGAGGCGTTTACATAGGATTTGTATAATTTTTGACTTTTAAATCCATGAAGTGCTTTTCTTTGCATTTTTAACAGCGTGAGATGGTGAGTTCCCAAGGAAAAGGGCAAAACAGGGGCAAATAGCAATCTTGCTAAAAATCTGAGTAGCACTAACAAGATTGAATTTAAAATACATGACTATCACTGCAGTAGGACACAGTTTACTGTACAGGTATTAAAGACAAAAAGTGAGACAACTTACAGGATCTGCACTGTATAAATACCAAATACTAAACCACGTGTTCGCATTAAAGTACGTGAAAGAAGCAAATGATTTACCCCAGAGAGTCCTTGAAAAACATTCAGTATCTCCTGTTCCGTGACAGGCTGATTTGTGGCCTCTGGGTTGGATTTAGATGCAGGAGTAAGGATAGAGTTAATGTAGACATCAATAAGAGGAAGCAACTGAGGATGGAGTGGAGTGGTCGTTTCACAGAGCTGCCGATAGATCCAGTCCTAGAAAAAACCATGCCATTACATCTTCAGTTTCAGAGCTGAGGGCAATTTTTCTTGTCTGCAAGCACATCCCATTTTAACTGGTTACAAAAAAAAAAAGTAACTGATGAGGCTTTGACTTTGGAAAGCGTTAATACCAGTTTGGAGTTGGGCCTGGTCATAAACTGGGTATCCTGGACCCTGTTCTGCATATACCCACCAATAAAACTCGTCCTGGCTGGAAATATCATTCCAACTGCCATTTTATTAACCTCAGACAGAGTGAGAGAGAGAACTTTCTCATTATTTTTAAGTTCACTAAGTTGTGGGTTTTGGATTACAGAGCTAAAACTGAGTACCCTAACTTAATACACAGTTCCTTCTTAAATCACTATAGGTAATAGGGTCTAAGATTCATCAAGAATTCTGTTCATAAACAAAAAAAAACCACCCAAACACCAGCCTGCAAAACCTAGCATTCAAAAGAATGAACAGAAATAAAATGAAAGTCATACCTTAATGGATACTTTGTGCTTGGTGAATGATCGACTTTTTAAAAGCTGGTAAATGCAGTGAATAGGTAAAAACCCAGTAATGTTGGCACTGAGATTGCCTGTAACAGGCACACGAACTGCGTGGGCCGTAACAACCTAAAGGGAAGTTATCGTTAACAAGAAAAATACCACAAATATTCAACTTATCACAACGCATAAGCACAAGGTGACAAAGTCACACGAGATACATTCCTTCTGGCATTTATTTGGTTTTGGTTGGCTGGAAGCTGAAGAGCATTTTTATGTAGCTTAATACAGTATGTGTGAAACTGTAGCACACTTACATTTGTGAAAAATTCCTGCTACTGCAGAAAACAATTTCACAGTGGACAATTCGTCTCCTTCGCTTCCTCATTATTTAACAAAGTCAAGTGCTCAAAAAGTATAATCAGAGCAGCGTACAAAAAGAAAGAGTCAAGGCTCTTCAGTACCAGCAGGGCTTGAATTCTTGTAGGTCAAACTGAAGCAATTACAGAAGAAATGAGAGGACAAGAAAGAAAAAAAGACAAGAAAAAAAAAAAAAGACCTAGGCTTAAAATACCTGTTCAGTGAAAATCTCCTGTGTGAAGATTGTCTTCATTCTGCTGAGTGAGCTGGGTTTAATAACAATCTGAAACAAAGAACAAAGTACTCTTAATTTTAAGTTCTAGCTTTCTTATTCAAAGTACTGCGAATTTATCTTATAAACCGTTAATTTTTAAGCTTTTTAAACTTGTCTTCACTGGGATACCAGGAAAACATTGACATCTATACTTCAAATGCAAACCAAAAATATTTTCAAATGTCACTAGTTCATCACTCTACGTCTTCCTTATCCTACAAACTACCTACTCACCTTTTACATTTGATGAGATACTTTTCGTGATAGCAAACTGAAGACAAGTCTCCCTCAGTAATTTTCAGAAATTAATTCTTACATATATAGATATTTCTTTAAACTATTTTAAAGTTTGCAGCTCGGTTTAGGTAGTACTTCAGTTAGTCTAAAAAAGTTCATTTCTTGAAAATAATAATTTCAGCAATTCAGCACTTGTTGAAGATACTTTTATCATAACGTATCAAGAGGTATGCAAAGTTTAATGTTTTTCTAGAGGAACTAATTTAGTTAGCTATCCCTTTTTTTTACTTTATAATTGCTTTAAGTATATTGACAAAACCAAAGTTCTTGATATCAAAACTGAAGTAAAGACAAGAACCTAAACACAGAGTAAAAAGTTAATTTTAACAGAGGAATGCATGTGCTAGAAATTAGGATTTACCTTCATTCCCAAGGTGGAGCAGACCAAATCAATGATAGCACTGAGCTGATTACTATGGAAATACATGGCCACCAAGAGAAGCATCTCTCCAAAAGAAGCAGACACACCAGAAATGCTAATGATAAGACAAGGAAGAGTTAATTTCCAACTGGACATGAGTAAATGTGAGATTACTGGAATCATTAAATACAAAAGAAGCCTGCTCTCACCTTTCAAAGTAAGCTTCCTCCTTTATCATCCAACTAAGCCACATTACCATCAGTTGCTCCTGTTCTGGGGTGCTGCACAAAAAAAAAAAAAAAAAAAAAAAAAAAAAAAAAAAATTATTTCTAGCAGAAAAAAAACCAGTATTTTAAAATCTTACACCAGGATGCTTATTGTCAGTTTTGCTTTCGCATCAAACAGCTGACAAGCACCGATATTTAGCACAAACTTCAGTCCAACTGTCAGGCAATTTCCTCTGTTGAACCACACAGCAGAAAGCTACACCCATTAAACATCCACTCTTTTGAACAGGGTCTCTGAAGAATTTAGCCATAAACACGTTCAATGGAAAAGTGAACTGGTAAAGCCAACTTTAACCCCCCAAAACCATTCCAAACTAAGCTAATGCCGATGCTCCCCTCTCAGAAGATTTGCTATAAATGGGACAGCAGAGTGGAATATCAATTTCCTCACCATAGCACGAGACAAATTCCTTCAACCAACATATGGAGATATGTATAGAGAATTAGGAAAGAAAAACCGTGCAGCTCAAAGTCATTGCCTTAACGGTGCTAAAACAGTTAACACCTTTACAAAGCTCCTCCTTTACTGAGCACTACCTGACGAGAGTGGAGAAGGCCAGAAGCATACAAAAGGAAAGAGATACAAAGCGAACACCAGCTGGAGTTGCAGGAGGCCGGCTGGTCATCAGCTGCAGCAGCTGCTCAGCTTCTTCATCAGTTGGCCTAAATAGGACAGAAAAGGAACAAACCCCATGCTGTTCATTTAAAAGTGATTTCTGATCTCGTCACAACGGTTAAAGTTTAATTTTTCCCTGTTATTTAATCTGTTTATCAAGTTGCCATCAATAAATGAGCATCAAGATTAACTGGTAATTCTCTTTGAAGTTAAAAGACATAAAAATCTCTGTTCAGAGATAACCATGAGAAAACTTCCCCAGGATACAATCTTGTCTATTAGTACAAAATACCCAGATTAAAACTAACAATGCACGAAGATGTTACATTAGCATTCTCTAAAAAGTAAAAGCAGAGGAACAGAAATTCTACATTCACGTCGTGTATGTTGCTAGAGCTTTCACCTGCTTTCTCTTCCACAGGCTGCTCCAACCACTCAGGCCTAGAGTTCTTTTAACGAGTCAGTAGAACTGATTTTGCAGCATTAAAGAAAGCACTACATTTCTTGCATTATTTCAGATTTTAAAAAATCAGCAAAGTTGATAAACAGATGTTTAGCTTTAGAATGAATAAACTTTTTTGCTGAGAGTCGTAACAAAACCCATACCTGTCTCCTTAGCACTACATAATATTTGCTTTCTACAATATAAAGGTAAGAAACTTCCATCAACGGGCAGCTCAGCATGGGAGAAGGGTCTCCCCTAGTACTAAAGTTGGCAAGTCCTGCCAAGACTGTTCCAAGGACTCAGTGGCACTAAGAGACAGCTCACGTTAAGAGTGCCCAGAGCTCTCAACCTCTCTTTAAATGGACGGAGAACGAATAAAAAAACCACAGAGAATGAAAACATTCATTACTTCAGCCCAGCAATTCCCATCAAAGCGCAATAGAGACGTAACAATGCGCTGGCTTTCACGACGTGCTCTTCCTTCAGTCCTGAATACACGGACACATTTGGCTCCATATCAACATCTGCTTCTTCAACAATGTGTGTGCTGCGAACCGTGGGAAGGATTCCCATGAGCTCCAGGAGCAGCTGCCTCCTCATTTGCCAAAGCACAGAGCTGATATTATCTCTCTTTCTCTGAGTAAGCAGTTAAAAGATGAGAACAACAATGTAATATTCATCCTATCAAACAATGTATTACATAAGAGCTTCCATAATGATGAAGCCAAGGAAAAAAAAAAAAGGAGGAGGGGAAGGAAATTACAATTTTCAGTACCAGGGCAACAGGCAACACAGGATAGTATTACAACAGCTTGTTACATCAAAACACAAGCTTTAACTAACTGAACTAACTAAGCAAATCGAGATGCAACTTCCTATTGTGAACGCTGAGGGTGAACGTATTTGTCAGGTAAACATTATGAATTTACAATTCCCTGGTTTCCAGGAAATCTCTCGGAGGAACAGCCAAAGAGCTGCCTTCAGGGACACTATTTACAGACCTGACAGTCCCATAAGAAGAGGTTGTCTTGTAAAGGTCACTCCAAGACATGTAACAGGATTTAATATGATTCAAATATGAGTGCTCACATCCGGAAGAGTTACATCAAGCTTTAGGAATATTTTTTAAGAGCAGAATATTCAAAGACTTTCATACCTGTTGGCCATTTCGGATAAAAGTTCCAAACCAAGTTCGAACCTTTGCGTTTGTTCCAAGTAGCAAACCACTCACAAAGCACACCAGGTCGCTCACTCCATCATCTGACGATTCATTTTTGGTGTGATCCAAGGTCAAAGCCACACCAAGACCTGGTAGATGACACTCTTCCACCTATATAAAATGCTTAGGCTCAATCCTTGCTGTTTTTTAAAGCTCAGGTAAAGACCATGATTGTGATTCTCGTGACAGACTAATGACAAGCCTTACCACCATGCCTCGGACCCTCAGAGCTTGGGAAGGGTTCATCTTACAGAGGTGGCGAAGTGCTTCTGTTCTGCGACGGCCTCCAGCACTTTCCTCATCCTGCCGTTCACCGTTCTTAATCAAACCTCTACAGACTAAACACCCAACAGGAGCTGTAAGTAAATGTGGCCTTTCCAGCAGAAAGCCACGTAAACACAAACACACAAAGCCAAGCCGTTCCGTTCAGCTCGCTATGATTTATTAGCTGGGCCACACAACCCTGTCTGGGTGAGAACGCATGACCTGCGCCATATGAACAGAACAAGAAAATGGTCTTTGCCCTCAGAGAAATTACAGGGTCGTTATGGATTTTTGCATCATCCAATTATTACTCACACTCTAACGTAACCTGTGCATCTGGCAGCCGTGGAGACTGAAATGTCACTGTGAGGTAAGGGATGCCAAACAGGCACCATCCGTACAAATTTTTCACCTCCTAACAAAGCTCAGACTAAGGGACAAGAACTAAGCAAGGTTAGACCAGGTTCATAGTCCTGGTCTATTCACCACCTGAGTCAGCCTTTGTAAGTGTCCTGCAGCTGAAAAGCTGCGACATGCACACAGTGAATCTACAAGCAGGCTGCAAAAAAGGGACTCGACATGATGAGAGTGGGAGTCCATCACCACCTCTAGGTATAAACGAGGTCAAATTATATTTCAGAAGCCAAACGCTCTCCTGTTCAAATATTTATGGCATGCGGTTTAGCCCAGAATTCACTACGGTGCTATACATCATTTCAAACCTTCAGAAAAAGTAAGCTGGACAAGAAGAAACTGTAACTCACCCTCATTAAAGCTATCAGGAACATTGGCCACCAGAAGGCAGAGGAACCAGGCTCCATTTTTAACGTGCAAGAGAGCTTCAGCCACATCAACTATCGGTAACAGTGATGGTAGCTCTGGATAAAAAAAAAGGGGTTTAAAAGTCACACTGTTTCATACAAAACCTTGCTTTTAATATACATTTAAATAACATGCTGAAATCAATGAATGGAAAATCAATCTGTGATCTATCCCCTCTTTCAAAGAGCCAGACAGCCTTGATTAATCTTAAATCACTCACAGTGGCTCCAAAAGTTACTTTTTTTACATTTGTAAAAAGGTAGAAAGCACTATAAATACACAATACTACACCTGCTTGCAAAATGCAGAGAACATCTGCTGCCTCCTCCAGATAAACAGGACTCTCAAAGAGCTCAGAAGATTTCAGAAAAAACTCTCCATTTGATTCCGACACCTACAAGACATCATTCATCATCACTGAACAGGTTTTATGAAGCAATTTGCCTAATCAGTCTTCTATGGCTTTAAATTCAGCAGATTGAACACATTAAAAACTGTCAAAAAACGTACAGCTATGAACACAGAACAGGCAAGAAAAGTGTTTGGAATAAGAAACATTTACTAGTGGAAATACTTTCATACAGCTGGTATCGTTGCTTCTTTCCTGAAGAAAAATAGCTCCCTGACAATTCTAAAGCCACGGGAAGTTTACACAAGGAAAATAAAATGCTGGGGTGGGGCGAAGGGACAGGGTAAGAGAAATACAGTTCCTAATATCACACTGAGGTAGGAGTAAGGAACTGGATGGAAAGAAGTCATAATTTCATTTTCAAATACGATTTCTGCACTGATGCATCACAAAATCACATTTCATTTCAGTACAGCATATAACAGTACAGAGTCTGTATCATATCAGCAAAGATTACCCTTGTTTGTTCTGAGGAAGAAACAATTCCTCTAGGAATCGGGGTTCATAAGGAGTTTAATCACAAACCATCAATCAATCAGACTGAGGTTTTAAGTCTTGGCGAAGCAGCTAAAAGCTGGAGAAGCGTCCTCACGCACAACAACAGCACCAGAAGCAGAACCAGACCATCAACCTACCCAGAGGGGATTTTCACTGATGGAAAACTCAAAAGCATCCAGATATGGAGAAATTTACCTTATTCATAATTGCTAGTAATTCGCTAAGTACGAGACGAAGCCGACGAGGCGAATCGCTGTGTTCAAATTCCAGTGTCAGCCCGTGCTGAAGCTGCGACACCAAGATGCTTTCTCCACTACCTCCTCCAAGCTTGTGCCTAACAAAAACAGCTATTAAGTGTTTCTGCAAACACAGAAATTTTATCAAAAGATGACAGTACTTCTATAGGGATTTCTTCTATCGTGCTAATGATCAAAGCAGACTTGTAACTGTAATACACAGTGAAATTTAATTCAGTAGATGATCAAACTTTCACTCTCAGACTGGTGCATCGCGCAGCCCCAGCCACCGGGCAGCACAGGGGGGAAAAGATCCCCAGCACAGACAACTAAACCCTTTATGTCGCTCTGCCAGAAATCGGGGTTTTCGTAAGAGACTATCAAGGGACACGAACACCAACGGCCAGGTGAGCCCAGCACTCCAACAGCAGCAACAAAAAAAAAAAAAAAAAAAAGGACATATGCTTTAAAAATTCCAGTTTTAGGAGCACTTTTCCACTTCAAAAATCTCAGCTAAATGAGAAAAAAAACCAAACCCTTCCGTAAGACAATAATGTGCTGTTTAACCTGCAGTGCATTACCATTAAAGTAATGGACAGACCCAGTTTTTAACTCTATTTATCAAAATATGCTGTTCTGATTGCACACATGTTATTGTGAAGAAATGACTGAAAATTTTCATCACCAATTATACAACTTCTTTATACAAAACCAAAAAAAGTTGCTAATGTCGTATATACATGACTCAAGGAGACTGTTTATATGAAAAATGATCTCAGGCAGGTATTTGGCATTTACGAAACATGATTTTCATTAACACAGTAAGTTTTGTAAATGCAAGCGAATTCTTTGTAGAGGATTCACAGCGGGTGCACAAATGGATCTTAAAACTTGCTCCTTGAAAGGTTTAAACCAGCGAGACGGACAGTATTAAGACCCAGGACATGGGTTATCGCAACAGGCTCACATGAGCGCTGCAGGAGTTAAGTTTTTCATCTGGCAGTCAGATGAGGAACCCCAGAAAAAGCATATGCAGTTGCTCTTCAGCACCCGTAGGGGCTATTTTAGAGCACCATCGGACATTTGGCATGTGCTAAGAGAAAGGAAGGAAACTACTGAGGAGGAAAAAAAAAAAAAAAAAAAAAAAAAAAAAAAAAAAGTGTGACTGCAGATAGAGGGAGACGATTACAAAAGCCTTGTGATTTGTCAGTCCCTTCCTTCGGGAGGGCTAAGCCTCCTTGGCACATGCCCCAGCCAGAGCCTGAAAAGGGGGAATGGGGAAGGCCATACACTGATACTTGGGACCTTCACCACAGTGCCAAAAATACATGATAAAGGAGAATGTTCAGGGTTTCGTGCTGTTTTTTAACTAGTGGAATAAAATCTGAATACCAGAATTCACTGAGAATCTATATACACCACATTTTAGTTAAACACACACCAATCTTAAAGTCAAGATTGACTATTTTTGCATTTGTAAAATGGTTAGAGCTGGGCTAAATTTCAGCCTTACAGGAGACTTTGGGTAAGATCAGAGTTTTCTGTGTGTTCCACCTCGGATTCATGTTTTCTCGCAAATGTGGAAGAACACAACACAATCACCACAGTGCCAAGAATATCTAGGTAACAACAACGAGCAATAGATATTCTTGTAATATTACAACTTGGATACTGGAAATAGATCTGAGAATCTAGCCACAGCCCTGAACCATAACACAAACTTCAATTGAAGAGTTTATTCATTTTATTCTCACTACAAGTTAAACCACCTACAATATCACTTATATATTGCCATTGTTACTCTGTAAAGGTGTGATATAAAATGCTGTAAGACCCGGTACCTTTTCAATTTATATAAACACAGTGAACTTCATTACTGTACATGTACTCTGCAACTACAGCTTAGCTGTAAATCCCCCACACACAATGGTATGGACATTAACCCCTCTATCCCCATTAAACTGTACATCAAGACAATACAAATTTACTGTCCCCACCCACCCCTTACAAAAAAATAATACTCTAAAAGCAACCTACTGCAACTTTTAATTAAGACGATTACATATATTTTAGACCAATTGCTTTAAAGCAAGAAGGCAGTATAAACCTTCTAGGAAAATTTTTATAAAAGAGGTTAAGAAATATAAGACAATTTATACATTTAAAAACTTACAATAAATAAGAGATGCAGGCATTTTTGAATACTAGATACTATAATCCAATACAAGAACATCTTGATGTTCTGAAGCCATAGGTTGAAACTTATTGTTCCTCATGTTTCTTCTCATCTCCATGCTTTTAATATTCATTAACCATGACTGGGTACTATGGCTCATTACTCTTCACAAATACTGTGGCTGGGGAAAAATGGTTAATTTTGCTACTAAAAATGTTATAATACACTTTCTGATCATCATTCTAAAGCGTCCCCCATAGTCAATGACTCAAAAGACAGTAGGGCAATAGGTGCCCCTCTCACAAGTCAAAACAATATTTGCTGGAAGTAACAAGATTCATACCCCATCACAAACAACTTGCACTGAGAAGAATTTATAATTTAGTCCTGCAGTGAAATATCCCTTTTCCTCATTTTTGTCTTGCAAAATTCAGATGAAGATCACAGCATATTCATAATAAAGTTATACAACTGATTCAGCACCACAAAATGAATTGGGAGACACGACCGTCTGTCCTGGGTTGCAGGATCACAGGTTAGCCAGGAGAGTGCATTGTACTGTTCCAGAACAAACCTGAAAAGCAAACAAGCTTCCATTAAGCCAACGGACTTTCTCACCAGTATTTCACAGGCCTAATTTACTCTAATCCAGTTTCTTTGGCATTAAAAAACATAAAATAGGTTTGTCAACATTCTGAAATAACATGGCTTCAGAATTATTGCAAGCAGTTCAGAGCTAAACTTTCAGTGGAAAACTGTCATTTTAATTGTCTATGCTTAATTAACGTCAAGAGGTTCACATATCAAAAGAACACGAAGAAAAAAAAACTTGATGTTTTCTCAACAAGTGCCCTATGTTTACATGAGTCTAGACTCTAGTACGTCAGCATTTCGATATTTCCACAAGATTGCCATGCAAAGTTCTGGCTTAACTATAACTATCTTCCACTCATTTATGCACCATCTTCTGTGCAACCTTAAACTCTCTTCTATCTTGAGGAATTCATTGCCTTTCAAATATTTTCAGTTGTAAACAACACTGATTAGTTAAAGAAGCGCTTAGAGATGTTTGGTTTTAATTGCACTGTTCTATGATAAAGCCATCTCTTAATCACTCAAAGCACAGCAATTTATATTGTCTCTGTGATGTACTAAGGATATCACCAGCACAAAAAAAACAACCAGCAAGAAAAACAAATATGCAGCTTCGCTGCAGCAGTATTAAAAACAAAGTGCACAATATTTTCACAAGCGATCAATCATAAATACCTGAGCACATCAGAAGTTTGATTAGAATCAAGTGGATGGGAGTGTTTACTGTGGAGTAGCTCGTCTGATTGCACTGAAGGCACGTGGAGGTGCAAAGAGGCCTAAGAAAGGAAGAAAGATGCCAGCAGTTACTGCCTGATTCAACCACAGCATATTTTCTTCCCTCTGTATTGTTGACCCGTACCTTGCAGTTACCTTCTACTCTGACACACAAGCCAAAACAAATCTTATCCTTAAGGCCATCAAGTTCAGAAATTATCAGAGTATAAAGGAAATGCACACAGATTTCTCCTAAAGGGACAGTGCTAGCAGTGTAATATAATTTAAGAACTTTTATTAATCCCTTTGCTATGTTAAGTGATTATTAAAAAGCAACTCAAGTGGCCCAGGATGTTTTGTAATACACAGACTTGGAAGTTCAGTTGCTTTCCGTAAGACTAGTCTATTTATATCCCATATATAGAGCTGCTTAGGATAAATAATAAATCCTCTATTCAAAAAAATGTCTTCTATCAAAGCTAGGCCAAGAGGAACTGCTAACCCAGAAACAAATAAGACTGCACAAGACATATCTGTACCATTAGAAAATAAAGCATGGTATCAGAGATGCTAATTAAAGTAAAAAATGACTAATGTTAATACAGAAAGTTTCTCTGTATACTAATGTATTGCCTTAAATGTGCCAAGTATGTCTTGATTGTGCCATTAAAAGATAAAGGAGATCAGACAATATCCAGACAGATGATACAATGACTATCACTTGGCAACAGCAAACATGAAAAACCTAGCTTTTATGCTTTGTGCAATACATAGAGATTTTTATTTATTTTTTTTTTTTTTACCCAGCGTTAGCAAGCTATTACATTACACTTGTGTACTTCCCTCTTTACCCCACAGGAGTCAAGCATTAACCAGAGATCTGTCTAGAAATTCAACCTATTCTTACAAAACACCGTAGCACAAAGCCAGAGAGAGAGAGAAGTCCAAACTACCGTGAAGAAACCATCAGAAGAGCAGAACCCTTCAGAACATTTGCTACTTCCACTAATCGTTTTTTGTTTTTTTTCCCCTTAAAAAAAGTGAACATAAAAAGGCAAAGCTCAAGAACTTAAAACCCGACCTCTCCTGATGCAAAAGCAGAGATACTCCAAGAGACATGTGCTGACTTTGTTTTAAACCTAATAGTTCTCCTAATTGAGATCCCTGCACAACTGTCTATGACGGGCTGTGCAGGAAGACAGCTGTCCAGCCTGCTGAGGTTACAGTACCTTAAGAAACAAGGGACACTGATTTTGTGCTTGAGGACACGCTGACCAAAACCAGTCAGGCAAGGGACCCGCTTTGGCAGTTGACACAAAATAACCGAGGGCCAGCGGCTGCTGCAGTATATTTGTTACTTCATCATGAGATTCCGTTGAAAGCAATCGATCTGTACCTTGACCCTGTAAAACAACAGGCCACGGTTTAATATTAGGAGAGCACAAACTTAAGAGAAATTATCTGTAGCTTTCAAAACACCAAGCGTTTTGAAATATCCAAGCACTGCATGAATCTTGCAAAGACAATCCAATATCCAATTGATTCAAAACATTTCATAGGAACCTTTCATTCCACAAAAGGAAATCAGCACATGGAGAAAAACAAACACCACAAATACATAACTGTATTTACACTAATAGTTACCTTGCCCATATCACCTCCATGGGGGTAGTGGGACCCTGGAGAATGCACAGGGGATCCAGTAGGGGATGCAGGAAGAATATTTATAATATCAGGATCAAGATCATCTCCAGTGTCTAACAAGTCAAAGATTCCCATTCCATCTGCTCCATCTAGAAAAAGAACAAGACCAGTGAATTGCTAGCTTCCCTACATACAGGATATGTCAACATATTCTGAAATCAAGTGATTTTCATTAAATTTTGCAGCTCGTTAGAACAGCTTTATTCTTACTATAGGGCAAGTGACAAAGGTTTTTTTTGTGGGCTAGTTTGTAAAGTAAGAATAAATGCAATCTACTGACCATTGTTTGTGTTGAAGGCCAGATCCAAGTTTTCAGTGGTATAAGTTGACGATGCTACTTGCACAGATGCAGACGTGGGAAACACAAGTATGTGAGTGCATGATGTGTCCTGGGGGGTATTCAGCTGAGATGTCTGCATATTTAAAGTGGTGCTGCGTCCAAATACAGAGCCGGTCGATACAGAATCTTTGGAAGAGAAATTAAGCATTTCCTTAGTTTTGCTAAACCCGAGCTATTCGTTGCCTTGCCAAAAAAAGAGAAAGAGAGTTCCTCAAATACCTGGCATAATGATGAAGGACCCCTGTGGTTCCATCGCCACCAAACAAGCACTGAGAATGCTGGGAGAGTCCGCAGCGGAGATACCACACATTCTGCACATGTCTTTTAGTCTCTTACTGAGGGACTGAAGGTTTCGGCGACTCAGCAAACAGCTCCAATCTGAGGATATATAAAGGACATAAGTTTGTCTAGAAAAAACGCTTGCAGCAGAATACGTATTTCACATCTAAGTGTGTGGTGCAAACTTCACGTGTGTTAGATTTCAAATACACAAAGGAACGCTGAAATTATTTAGGTTTTCTTCCAGAAACAGGGACAAAGACTTTGTATTATTGAAATAGGAAAGCTTCAAATCAAGTTTTAGACGCCAAAAATGGTAATGTTACCTTTTAATTCCCCATGTCCTATTCTTCCTAAACGGCCTATTACAACTCTCCACGGCAAAGAGCTCATCTGCACAAGTCCCAGGCACCATTCCCAGAGTTTCTGAAGACCAAGTCTGCGGGCAGAGCCCTTTTTCCTGCGAGCTCTAGGATTAAGGAAGAAGGGAAAACAAAGCTAGAACTCATCTGCAACAAGTTTTTATTGCCACCTTTGGAACTTACTTGTATTAACCTGAACGTTCACAGAACTCAAGAACGTTAGTACTGTAGTACATCAATTGCAACCTCGGTTTGTTTGTGGTTTTAATTAATCACATTCTAACACTGACATCAAAAGCCAGCAAGGGCAGGTGGGGAGTATGAATACACATACAAAAAGACTCAAGATTCATATGAAACTACATAACATTCTTCTAGAAATTTAGCTCAAAACAATATGTACATAATACAGAAAATTTCCATTTGCTTTAGCTAGTTTTGCAATACAGCGAGTCTACAAAAGTCAGAGTAATTCTTATATCATCATAAACAAACTACTCTTCAGAGCAATGAAAGGAAATATACATGCTAAAAATTAATTTAACAGGTTCATTCTTACCTGTTTGGTACATCAATATTAATTATGCAAGTTTCTAACTGTTCTCCATAGAGATCTGTACAGGATGCAAGAAGCCATCTTTGATCATGAGACAAACAGTAGCCTACAAAAAGTACATTATACTTCTGACCAGCTTCTCCAAAAGTTTCTCCTAGTTCCGTTTGCTTGTCCTTTACAGGAGCCAGTATAAAAGGAGGGGTGTATAGTCGAATACACTCAGGTCTCTATAAAGATAACAGAGCAGACAATGAAGTTTCAGGAAGCAATTACTCCTAAAAACTCCAGTTAATGTGAAAGACACCACTGATTTAATAAACATGGACATTTCTCTGATCTATTTTACACAGTCACGTTAACAATACTCACATCGGGGCTCTTAAGAGCAGTTTCCATGGCTAAACCTGGGCCAAAGCCCGTTAATGTTTTCACGTTGGTGGAAGTGGGAAGAGGTCTTCGACACTGAGTAAAAGCTGAAAATGCCAAAGATTTTAAATGCTGAGTGTAAATCTGCCGGTCTTCGTGTTTCACAGGTTGTAGAAGGTATTGACATGGGACAATCTAGAACA